TTACGAATTACTTAATGTTTAATTGTAAATTAATTTAATTAAACAATAAATATATATTAATTTTAATATGAGCTGAATTCAAGATATTTTTTTTTTATTTTTTCAGGGTTGATTACCAATGTGATTCTCGTCGGTAACTAGGAAAACAGAAATCAAAAATTGCGCCTGAAAAAATTGGCGCCTAAAATTTTGGAGATGATTTCAACCTGCAGCGAAGATCTTCGTGGTCAGACGTGGTTCTTGTCGGTGATTTAGTAACATGGCCAACCATTTCCGCTGCATTGTCATATGTGATGTTCGTCGGTGATTAGCGCAGGGCTCGAGGCTCCTTTATATGTGCAGACGTTATCCTTGTTGGTAATTTACCGACGTGGAACCAGAGATGTTTTCTGGTTAACTGTTTCGACTCCCTATTTGCAAAATGTTTTTTGTCAGTAATTATGAGTGCGTTTATCGACGTGATTTTCATCTACGTCGGTGATTAAATTACCGAGCCGGGCTTCACCGAGACACCCATTACTGACGTGATGCAAGTGGGTATTTTGTTTCACTGATCAGATTCCCTCTTTCTCCGACTTGGTTTCTCATCGGTGATACAGTGAATTCTTGTAGTGAAGGACAACAAATGCTTTGCGGCATACAACTACAACCAGTCAGCCGTCAGTTCAAAAACCAATTTATGTTTTTTGATTAGCGATATGAAAATTTATAAGAAAATAATTTGGAGATGATATTGTTATATTAATTTTTATAATTTTATTTATCATTTAAATAATTTATTCTTTTAGTTTTACTCATTTAAATTTTATGATATTAAATATATTTTTTTATTTAATAACATATAAAAATTATATAAAAAATTATAAATAAATTATTCTTATATCATCACTTAAATTTATATTATAATGGAATAAAACTAATTTCTTTTTTTGAACAAAACGAAATCTAAGATAGTGTAAGAAAAATATAAATAATAAAAAAGAAGAATTCCATTTGATGATTTGTAAAACTACTCTCTTTAATATAAAATAAAAGGATTTTTTAACCTATATCTTTATAGTATAAATTAAGAATATTTTTTTACATTAAATGTACATAAAATTATAAAAAAATATATTAATTTTAATATCAAGTAAATTTAATTAAATAATTAATAAATTAAAAATTAATTTTTATTTTTTAATATAAATTTAAAAATTGAGGGATTGAATTGATATTTTAACCTTTTCAAATCCCCAGTGAAGCCTAATAGTGAGAGGGTATGCAGCAAAACT